AGAGGTGGGACCAGGTTGGCAGGAGGTTTAGTCCTTGAGACAGAGGGGAGAGAGAGAGAGAGAGAGAGAGAGAGAGAGAGAGAGAGAGAGAGAGAGTATGTGTGTGTGTGTGTGTGTGTGTGTGTGTGTGTGTGTATGGGGGGTGGGGTTACAGAAGGAATCAGCTTCAGTGGGAGAGGATCCAGCTGTTCTAGTTAAAGGCTCCCAATGCGTAAAGAAGGTTGTCTTTGGAGCTGGAAGAAAACTTAGAGATCATCTAAGTGGGCTTAAGAGAGGGGACAGGGTAATGGGGGTGGGGGTGAGAGTGGAGTTGAGTGAGAAGGAGAGGGGAGGATGTGGGATTAAGTCCCTGGGTCCTCTAATTAATTGCCTTTTCCATCTGCTGCTCCTTAGTGATCTCCTTCTGCCTGTCCCTCCTTAATTCTCTGATGGCTGAGGGTCAGGGCCCCACCCTTTACTGTAAAGGCACGGGAGGAGTACCAAGGGTGGGAGAAAGGAAGGAAGCTGTTTTGGAGAGAGAAGTATTAAGGTTAGCAAATGAGACTCTGGAATGCTCTTTTCCTACCGGCTCCTCTTCCCTTTTCTGCACCATCAGCATCATTTTGGCAGCAGTTTAGGTCTTGGGAATAGGAAGGAGTCATTGGCTTTTAGAATCATAGAGTAAAAGAGTATTAGAGTTGTAAAGGGCCTTACAGATGATCAAATTAATAATAGTACTTGAACAGACGAGGAAAATGAAACTCAGAAGCTTAAGTGACTTTCAGGGTTCAAAGAGCTAAAGAGGAAAGGACTTAACCAGTATCGGATTGGGGAGTTGGAAGGATAAGGATCTCATTCCCAGTATTTTAGAGCGATGCCCGAAATTTGAGGAATTCCTCATTCTTGCCTATCTCAGAATGGACAGGTAGTTTCTCCATGAGCTACTTACTCCTTCCTCATTTAAGTAACTCCTTGAGGATCATCATTTTAGTGCTCTTTTCATCCCAGGCACCTTCTCACTTCTCCCTCCCTCCCCATGAAGAAAGATCAGCCTGCAAGAATTCTCCTCGTTGTAAAAATAGGTAAAGTAAAGTAAAAGCATCCATGTTGGGTTGGGATCTCTATGGTTACTCCCTGCTCTAAAATGCTATGACATACAGTGTGCGTTTCCCAGAGACTTGCACAAAGTCTGGAGTAGGTTGCCTGTGGGATTTCAGAACTGGCAGCCACAGTGAAAATTGTGGGGAGCAGGGAAGGGGAGTGAAGAGAAGAAGGCTGGTTTGGCCTCCTGGATGCCCCTGTCCACTCAGCAACAGCCTGGGTAGCTGGGGGTGTGGAATGTGGTGCTGGCACCAGTGCTGGGCTGGACACAGCTGTGTGGGCCCTGGGCATTCCTTTCCCCACGCTGCTGCTGCTGCTGCTCTGCTCAGGAGAGGAGAGGGAAGGAACTCAGCCTGCGTGGGGGGGGCGGAAATTTACATATTCTTCTGGGGGAGGGGATGGAAGCACCTGGAGGGGAAAATCTCAGAGGACTTTGCTCAATATCCATTCAGATTCTGCATCACGCTCTAACCCTGCTCCAGCTCCCATTTTCCCATTATCGGTGAATTCTACGTAGGTTTCCACATTGCTTTCTTCTTCGGCTTTCCACCCAACTAATCCAGTACTCCTCATGCTGCTTCTCACTTCTATTATCCAGTTTTAATTAACACCATCCTTAATAATAACCTCCGTATGCATTTTAATTCTAACCTTAATTGAATTCTAATTTCAATCCTAACCCTAATCTGTTACAGACTTTAACTACTCATCTGAATGCCAACCCCAATTTAATTGCCAGTTTTAACCCGCATCTTCTTGCTAACCAGTTTTAAGCCAACCACCAGGAAAGCAACTTGCACATAGTAAAAAATTATCACAAGTTGCATTTCTTTTTTTTTTTTGGGGGGGGGGGGGGGTGGAGATACCGGAGATTGAACTCAGGGGCACTCGACCACTGAGCCACATTCCCATCCCTGTTTTGTATTTTATGGAGAGACAGAGTCTCACTGAGTTGCTTAGTGCTTCCCTTTTGCTGAGGCTGGCTTTGAACTTGTGATCTTCCTGCCTCAGCCTCCTGAGCCGCTGGGATTACAGGCAGGCGTGAGCCACCTCTCCAGGCTAAGTTCCATTTCTTGAGAAACCATCATGTGCAGTACTTTGTGCTGGGTGCTTCACATATACAGTAGTATCTCATTTTAGTGTGATTGTGATTCTAACCTCCCTTCCCAATACTAGGAAACAAAGGAAAAACAAGGTTACATAATTTGTAAATAGTGGATCCAGATTCAGGCCTGCTTGACCAGAACAGCTGTGGTCACTCCTCTTTCTGTTAAGAAATACTTTTTGATTTGGCTTTTTTTTTTTTTTTTTCATTTTAAATGGTCCATCACAATTTTACATAACAGTGGGAATCACCGTTACATATATGTAAATGAGCAGCACATAATTTAATTGCATTCCCCTGTACCCGTCTCCCTTCCCTAATGAATACTTTTTGACTGAATTCCTCTAAAATCCTAAATAATACTGACTGGGGTGATTTCTAAAATGATTTCTAAAATTCTGAGTTTCTTAAAAGCTTCTTGTGATTAGCTTCGTTCTTTTTAAAAAATAAATAGTAGCACCAAATAGAAACCGGCTCTTCAAAATAAACTAGCCCCAAATCTCCCTGCCCAGAGACCCTATTGACACTTTAACACATTAAGGTAATTTATGGATAAAGTTAAAATATTCAAACTGTAGAAAGAAACAGACTGCAGAGAAAAGCCTCCTGTCCTTCCCAGAGTAGCCATATTGCACAACCCCAGGGGGCATCGTTCTAATTGGAGTTGTGGGCGCAGCAGCAGTGCGTCCCACAGCTTTCCAGAAAAGCAGATCAAGTCAAGGTAAATATCTACCAAATTAAATCACCCTGTGTGTGTATATGACTTAGGCATGAAAATCACCAGACACTTTGAATTTTATAATTGGCAAAAACTTTTAGAGGCCAGACTCTCTCGCTACAAAGCCCCTTACACTTCTCACAATATGCACAAGCCCTGTCTGTGGTATTCATTAACCCTTTTATGGA